GTACCAGGTGCACAGTACCCACAGTTCACCAGGGTACCAGGTGCACAGTACCCACAGTTCACCAGCGTACCTGTGAGGGTTTCCCCTGTTAGTCTTCTCCGCTCACGGCTGAGGTGATTCCAAGGAGGAGCTGCTTGTACTCATGTCTTCATCGCCTCCCCCCTCTTTCTCTTACTCCCACACGCAGCCAGGATTGTTCTACAAGAGCAGGCCCATTCGGTCCACTGCCAGGCGTGCGTGAGTGTCCGCTGCGTGGTACCTACAAATACGATGCAGCCTGTGACACCAGCCCTGCGCCTCGCGGATCTGGCGCTCAGTGCGTGCGGCATGTTTGGCAAAGATGGCCGCCGTCGGTGGCCGATGGCTCCTCTGTTGCTTGCGGCGGTGTTTTGTGGTGTCGGGATGAGCCGAGCCCTAGCAGCTGGCCTGTGGGGGGTGGGGTTGCGTGACGCAGTGGATCGGATGAGGACAGAACAGGACCTTGATTAATCCAAGATTTAGCCCTGCAAGGGGAGGATTTTAGGCTGAGTCAGACACGGGTATTAATAGGAAGGACAGGCCCTGTAATCCTGAGGTCGATGGGATTTTGCTGTGGCTCTGGATTCGGAGGAAGACACGGAGGGGGTAAATAAAGCAGAACGTTCCTCAGCTCGGATCTGGGGTTCCTTCCCCCTGCCAAAGCCCGGGGTGCTGGACGAGAAAGCGCGAGGCGTCTGTTGGGAGTCCATCTCTCCCTCACTGAGGCCTAGCCTGCCTCTTGGTTGTCATTGAAAACCCCGGGGTGTTTCTTGAAAAGAGTAGTGTTCCCCCTGGCCGTTACCCATCATGGCCTCCTAATAATCCCCCTCTCTGAACTGGCTTCATCCCTCTGCTTTCCTCCCCACTGAGAGCTGGGGTAGAGGTGGAGGGGATCCCCATGACCTGTCAAATGCCTTGAGTCGAGAGTCCAGACAAGTGCTATAGAGGTGTAAGGAAGTATTGTTATTATATACGTCCACCTGCATCCCAGTCTTCACCCCACTCTCCCTCTGTCCATCCTCTGCAGGAAGGTGTATCTGGAGGTGGAGCCGCGGCAGCCGGAGATGCTACAGCAGAGACCAGGAGCAGGCCTGCAGTACACAGCCACACACAGAGACTTCAGCCACAGGTACAGTCCTGCTGACCCGCATGACTGTGCAGGGGGCGGGATCAGGGGAGGGAGTACATCATGGTGGTTAACAAGAGATTTACCGCTAAGGCAGACAGAGGAGCGAGCAGGTCAACCTCACAAACCCGCTTCGTGGCCGAAATATTAGGACCCCATGCCAGACAGCCCCGACAAGGGCTTGAGAGGGATGTGGTGGCACAGACGTGTTTTTGGGGGTGTCCCTCTGTGGAGTTCGTGATGCAGTTGCGATGGGGTGTCGGGGCCCACTGGTGCTCTGGTTCAGGATGGGGATCGGCGGAGGCCTCGGGCCAGGGGCGGGGTCTCCCACTCGCGGATCCCAGCATGCTTTGCCCTGCCACTGAGACCGCCCACTCCTTTCGCTGGGAGATCACGCGCCCTCGCCCGGCAAGCACAGGCGCGCAGGATCTCTGCGAGAAAAGTGCAGCAACACACCAGGAGAAATCCTGCAGGACCCGTACAGAAGGGACCGTGGCTTTCCCACAAATATCCTGCAAGAGCCGATTCTAGGAATCCTTCATGTGTGTCCCAGGGGCTTTCCAGTTAATTTTAGGAATGCTATAGACTTCCTCTATGATATTAGAAGGAGGACAAGGAGGCCAGTTTTTAGTCCCTGCATCTGGGAGGAATTTATGATGTGGATATCTAATCAAATTTGGGATTTGCTCACAGCCAAGAGGTGACCTAGTCTAGCTGATGTTGCGACGGCTCTCTGTGGGATAACTCTTCCTCGATAATCTCCATCCTGGAGAGCCCCCTGTCCAGTCCACCAGGGTTTGCGAATGTAACCATTTGGGGGAAAAAAATAATTGAGACCAATAAACTCAATTTAAGGTGATATTTCTTAATTAAACCACTCCTCCGAGCCAGAACTCCAGGCACCGTCCAGGCAGCACAGTTCGAGATCTTAAATTGCCCCCCCCTTGGTGACAAGGAAAGTCATTTGAACCGAATTGAGTTAAAGTTCCTTTAACTGGAACGAGTTACTGGCTGAAGTGATCAGTCCCCACATCGCTGATCGCTGGGGATTTAGGGTGACCTCCGACCCCTGCTGGCTAGGGGCTGGAGCGGCCGAGAGGCGGCGTGGCTCTGAACGGGAGGAGTTGGCGGGGGCGTTACTCGCGGGGCGCTGTTCACCTCGTGCTGCGGGGGCTGACGATCTTGGGGGTTCTGCTCCGCAGGCCCCGGTTCTGTGTCTTACAGAGGGGCCGGGGCAGCGGGGACGGCTGACGGGCAGGAGGACGAGAAGACAAGGGGGCGCAGCGGAAGAAAACACCCCCACCCCACACGCGCTCCTCTCCTGTCTTTGCACACCCCCTGAACCCCTGGGGCTCCTCTCTGCAGCAGAAGAAAGCACCTGCGCCTCTGTCCCAGTCCCCCCCCCCCCACCTTTCCCACTCTCCTCTCCTGTCTCCGCACAGGGGGGCTGGGACACCCCCTGAACTCCTGGTGCTCCTCTCTGTAGCAAAAGTTAGAAGTCTGCGGACCGGCTAGAATTTGGAGCCTCAGAGACCCCCTGTGACCCCTCACCCTCAGCTCTGGGAGGGGTGATCCTGACCATATGCAGAAACCCTTCGACAGCCGTCCGCCTCTCCCTCCCCCGTCTCCCTCGAGCTTCCGCAGAACCGCTCAGAGTCCAGTGTACCTGACCTTTGCCCAGTACTCCCGGTACTCACCCGGAGGTACGGAGAGGGGGCTGGCGCATGGAGCAGCTATCGGATTCCTAGGAAAAAGAAGGCGGCAAAACAACAACACGCTTGCGAGGGCTGATGGGAGCGAGCCCAGCACTGTGGTGCACAGACAGGCCTTGCAGCCGCTGGGAGCTGCGCAGGCTGGGGCCTGCTCTCTGACGGGCCGAGTTCGGATTTGCTTATTGACAAGTGGGGACGTCAGCCGGAGCTGGGGGGGGGCTCTTTACAGTTTGTACAACCAGAATAAATGTTTCCTGTTGACAAACAAAACGAACGTTTTTTTGTCCCTGGAGTTCGTTGTTGTCCTCGAGGCAGCTGCTCGGGGCCGACCTGCTTCGAAAGACGGTAAAACCAAAGACTGTGCACCCGGGGCGTAAGTGTCGGGACCAGGCTGCTGAGCTCTCCAGCGGGGCAGTGGGTAGTGGGTCGCTAGGCCCCACCCGATGAAACCTTCCCTTGCCGAGTGGTCTGGGCGAGACAGACTTCTGCTGACACAACGGCACCTGTTCTCCTTTAGGGCCCTGGGCCCGTGGGGTTTTATAGGTTCGTTTCGTAATGGTCAAGACACAGACGCCTGGTAATTCCGTCTCGTACCAGTTAGGCGAACTGACGTGTCAGAGCAGGTCAGGTGTGGGCTGCAGTGAAACCCTGGAGACTCTGTGCTGCACCTGCCCAGCGACAGGGGCTGCAGACAGCTTCCTTACTGCCCCGCTGTTCTGCTCTGAGACCCAGGGTTCACACAACCAGGAAGTACCTCTGTTGCCACACAGGATCAAACAGGCCCTCTTGTCTTCCTCGTCAGCTCATGTGTTGTCTAGTCCGGTTTTCGTCAGCTCTCCAAACAAGACAGCGCGATTCTCTGGAATTTGAAAAACGCCGGACGCCGCTGCCTCAGGCTAGCTGGATCCTGCATTTCTGGGCGGTTGTGTTCCGTGTTCCTTCCTGGTGTTTAATTTCTTGGGAAGTCATGCCGGGCTGCGTGTGTGGCACACGGGAGGGGCGGCCGAGCGTGCCCTGTGGGCTGCCTGTGTCTGCGTTTTCCCATGGCCCCATGATGCTCTCTGACGCGAGGCGTTTCCGTTTCCGACATGCAGTCATTTTGCTCATCTCAGTAAAACAACAGAGGCTTTTTTTTTCTGTTCCAGGCTGTTGATCATGTGGGCGGCTAATCCTCCGTAGCCTTGGAAAAGGCCTCTGCAAAGAGCAGGGCGGGTCAGCG